GTTAGTGCTTGGGTATTTGTTACAAACCACACATCAGGTCTAAAAACAATTAAATAAAAAGAGAAAGTCTGATTTAACCTAGAATATAAGTGGATAGTATTGTTAAGTAGAAAACCAGGATACTTTATTTTTAGGGACTAATGCAAATGTTAAATATTAGCTGTTACAGCTTCGGTAAAGCAGTGATGTGAATGTCTTTTATAAACCTATCGTGGCTAATGTGATCTTAAATTGGAAAATCTCCCAGAATAAATCAGCCATTCATTGTTCGGTAAAAATATTGTCCCGTAAATTCTGATTATTTTTTGTCAATAACTGCCAACAGTATTTGACGAGTTAAAGGTTTTCTAGATGGCAAATCTTGTACCTATAGTATCCTAGCCCTATTTTACGTCTTATTGTGCAGAACATGTCTTCAATTGCCCTAATAACTTTTGGTTCAGTCGTTTAACAGCATCGTACGATTTTTTTGCAAAATTCTTATTTCAATCTGGATTTTGATAAAAAATTATTGTAAATTGACATCTGAGGAAGGCTGTTTATAACTAAATTAGATTTCAAAACTTATGCTCTAGCGGAAAAACGAGTATTTTAGAGGTAGAAATAAACGAAAGATTTATTTCACAAATTAGGATCGCAATCTTACTTTATTTAGAACGTACCTACTAAGTAATGTAAATAATTAAAACTCGAAGGACACACCCACTAATGTGGGAAATAAGATTACCAACAATACGCAATTTATTAATTAACTTTGTTACTACAGCTAAGTTAAGATCTAGCCAAAAACAGCAAGGCAGTTACCAACCTCTCGTGCAATAGAGCGGTAGATTTAAAGAATATGATAAATTTGGGATTTTGATATGATGATATAATATAATATGACTAAACACATCGGTGTTTAGAAATATCTGCTGTAGCCGCAGTACGAGAAGCTGCCTTAGCATAAGTTACTGAAATAATTTCGTATACATCTTCAGAACCGAATTTACCGCCAGGTTTGTTAATAAAGTTAGCTGAAACATTTGCTCAAGTCGAAGAAATGGAAACGTAGACAGACTTTGTGTCTTAAGTGCATAGAAATATTGAAAAAAGAGGCCTTAGGCGCTGGTTTTCTCTGAACACACGTCGGGCGACGGACAACGGCCCTAGGCCGTCAACGTTCGAATGTGCTATGCCTAAAAGTGTAATTGCCCTTGGTTTCTCCGACACGCCAGCGGTCCACGGCTAGGCGTCGACGGTATGGCAATTACCCGCTGCGGTCGGTCGGTTCATATGTTTCGAAGCAATGCAGCGGGTGGACCGTTATGACGGACCCCCCCCCCCCGTTTTAAACCCCCCCCCAAAAAAAAAAAATGGAAAAAAGAATTGGTGCGAAGGCCATTCACCATTTTTGTAAGAGGCCCGCTCATGTTAATTCAATAAAATAATAATTTAAAAACATAAAGATTTGGGAAGGAGATTTGCTCATAATACTTAAAAATTCCAAGGTAAGTGTGTTTTTATTAGTTTATGTTTAACAACATAACATACAAAAACAATGTAATAATTAATTTAAAACATAAATTTTTAAATTATAAGAATTATACAACGTGAGACTGTCAAGTGACCCCATCCAGATGTCCAGAACACAAGTAATCTTATTAAATTCGTTTCTAAATGAAATGCTGCTATAAACAGCAGTTCCACCATTTCGCTTTGTAAAGCAATTAAATTATTGAGAAGCGCCGTTATTGGTATCCGCTGTATATTATGAATATTTTTCGGTTTTGTCATCTATTAACATATTATGCCAAACAGCAAGTATTACATAACCAATTGTGGCTTGGTTTTAAGCATTATCGGCGTATAGAATAGGTCGAAAAGTGTTTGATATGCATTACCCAACCGCACATTTACTGACCGTTCTCTTCGGAATCTACTCAAATGATCTTGTCGTTTATCTGTATCCATTTCCCTTTGAGTAATAAGGATAAGGTTTCACAAGGCGAGGTAACAAATTTGAACGCCTCCGTCTCCTATTCAGAAAATAGTCGGAGAAAGATGTTTGAATCCATGGCAATTCGGATACAATATTACGGAAAGAAAAATGTCCCAGTTACAATTAGTTTTTCGAAATTTTTGATTTAGTAAAAAATAACCACGATCCTCCTCTCTTTCCATCGAGGGAATATTTCCAATATCGACATAGAGACATTTACAATAAGCATCTACCGAAGCGCCAAGAAAATGTTAAAAAATTGTAGAAGAAAGATCCACTGTTCAATGGACATTGTATACGACAATGTTTTGTCCGTCCTTAAATCACCATACCATTGGAAAACTCCATTTAACTAAAAAATTTTTAGGCAACAACTTCCAATTTGCTTCTTGTATAATTTTGGTAAATGTAGAGGTGTTCTCATGTGATTTACAAACAAATCGTCTTATATGTTTTTCCAATATTTAATGATATGTCACAATAGAGATATGCAAATTAAACATGCATAGTTGATCAAAGACTATTCTGCATCGTGGGCAAAAAAGTTGTAAAAAACTAAAATTACGAAACTAATAATCCATTATTTATTTTAAATCATCAACACTTTAACAGATAAATTCTTTAGATGCAAGATGTCAAAAAAAAAGCATATTAGGGACCAACAGCATGAAAAGAGAAACACAGACGCTGCATAGCTCAGGCAAGAAACCAATCTACATGGAGAGGATATATGCCCCAATTAATCATTTCTTAACCCCAAGTTCAACTCACAGAGAAAACTGTAACCAACACCAACGAAGATAAGAAACAAGCGTGGAACGTCCCTGCAGATTTAAAAACACTAATTTTAAAAGCACCAGATGATTTTTAGAAGGAACACCGAGGACGGAAGACATTATAGGGGAGGTCACAAGGATCTATTACAGATTCAAAAAAGAGTACAGAAGGCAATTCAAAAAATTGCTCAAAGTTCTCGATTAGATACATCAACAAGCTTTCACTCCCTCAAGAAAAAAGATAAAAAAACGTCTCATGAAAATTTGATCAGTATTTGTGAAAAAGAAGGAAGCAAGTGGAACTGATCAGCTGTTCTTGAAGAAAATTATTAAACGCAGGACGGAAACTACCAGAAGAAAAATCTGCCTAATTCAATCAAATATTTCGAGCTCCATGGCTGATACTGTTTTCAAACGTGTACAACCACATATTATTGCAGACACTAGGTTATCAAGTTTTGTAAAATATTAACAGAGATGAAACTAAAAATGCATAAACGAACAGTGGCTTATTGTTTGTGATAATCGAAAATATTGTATGGATTTATTCATTCTCACATTTATGATGCGTAAGAATTAAAGTACTAAAGGACCTTTCATTCTCGTCTATATTTAAATATATATTGAGTCTTGTCTTTCTTTTCTTTAAAGTTCTAATTATAGTTCAATATCTTCCCACTTCTTCAAGTAACAGTTTTCATCAAAACATTTTTTTTTCATTTATCAATTTTTCATTATTTATAAAGTCTCTTGTAGTTTTAATCGAAACCTGAATCAATCGACGTCTATAACCTACTGAAATCTACGCAACAAACTGATTAATTCTAGAGAAACCACTACACCCGTTCCCGATGACGGTTGGCCGTTAGACAGCAACGTCCAAACGTCGGACGGCTGCGGCTTTACGTCTGTTCAGAGAAACCAGCGCCTTAGAAAGCAGAACAATTCCGTTTCGAAAATATTCCACCATCACCGGTTGATCTCTACGTTGCCCAACGTTCGTTCGCTAGTAGTAGCCAGGTGCCTATCTAGATATATTTTAAATAATTTTTACTTCGTAGATTTATAAAGTGATCATTGTAGGAAATACATATTTGATTATCTCTACTAATACGTATTTCCTACACATGATGTTCAAGATGCTTTCAGTTCGTTCAGTTTCAAGAATTTTTTGTAGCGTTCACAAAGGTTCTCAATCATATCTAAACGAGGCAATCTAACGAAGTAAACGAAGGCGGTTGAATGGCATGAAAAAAATCTTGTTTAGTACGCAATTCCAGAATATTAGATGGTGGATCGGTACGAAAAACAGCCTCCTTCAGCCCCATATTTACGCATCAGGAGGCGTTAGGTCTGGTGAGTGCAATGAGTATTGAAAATCACTACTACTCGAAATAAGGCTCCCTGGTGATGTGACAGGTTGCCCCGTCCTTCTGACACCATTGTTAATGAAGTGGTAGATTTCTGGCACGAAAAAATTGCTGAAGATCATGTAGAAATTGCGTGGTAATCTGTTCTCTGGTTAACAATTAACGGCGTTCCATCGTTTGCTTCAATTCAATATGGGCCCAATATACCACGTGCAGATACAGCACACCAAATGGTAACACCGTTTAGTTTTGACGCGTTCTTATAATCCATAGCCAACAAATGTACGCAGTATGCGACTCTTATACACTTATCAGCTGCATTCAGACGCTATCTGGTCTGTATTTTGTATGTAAACCTACCAATGTTCTTAAACATTCGACAAAGTGATCGATCACTGATATTCAATTTTAATCATGGTCTACTGAGGCTTCGTTTCGACGATTGCAGCACTTGATTTGTATTAGTTCTGACTCTCACTGGGCGACCCACGAGATCTTTACGTTGGCAAAGCACACTTCCAACAACTTCTTAACAACTCAACAACTGCTTACATTACTCGAAGGCTGTTTCATAAGCTTAAGCCTAATGCGCCGGCAACTGATATTAAGATTGAACCGTTTTCGCGACCTATCCTGTATAACCAAAAATAGTACCCCACGACACAAACTTTTTCTGCAACACTGAGAACCATCCTGAATCACCCAACATTAACATTCATTAGAACGATGTTCTGAAACTACTCAGTACATTTCGGCGTACGACACATATCTACAAATTTGACGCATATGCATTTCAGTACTATTTATATCGCTACATACCATATCTACAAAGTATAAAGAACAACAATAATTAACAAAAACTGTTTTACTTACAAGGTTTGTACCCAATTTAAAAACTTGTGCAAGCCCTGCTCCAGCTCTTTAATTGAGAACCAGTTGGTATGGAAAGGCATCATGTAAGGAGCCCTATTTTGATCGTAGTATCTTAAGAAATCTTCTTGCAGCCACTCGAATACATCGTCAGCATCGTGGTTATGAAGTACGCATTGGTCTAGATATGGACAGTGTCCTCCTTCAAAACCTTCTACGTAATGAGTGTTTAGAGGAACCTCCCAAACACCTAAAAATAAATGTTTAAATATCAGAATAGACAATGAAAAAAATTCTAGTATAGCTTGTAGCACAAAAGCGACAGAAATGAGCTACAAAAGGCTAAAAAAAACTACAAAACATCAGAGTGTTCCATTCGTTTTGCTGGTATCTTTTGATTTTCGTAGCAAATGTGAATTTTATTAAATATATAAATATATGAATATATGTGAAATAACTTTATTATTTCTAGGAATACCCTGAGTGACACAAGAACTAAATAAATTTACTAAAAGTCAAGGATTATCATATTTTTACATTAGCGCCATTCAAAATTAAACGATTTCTATTTTAAAATGACGCGATAATCACATAAAAATGTAGCAACATACTAAGCGATACATGAGATTTTAAATAATATATTACTGGAAATATAATCTCTTTTAAAATAATTTACAAAATGGATCCTGTCAGCCATTTTTAAGTCACTAAAGCATCATATAAACTATGAAGAGGTACAGTTACGTACAAATTAATTATTTCAAGTTTTCAAGAAACTAGTTAGGGATACACTGTACTCGGCTTTAAATCGTTAAATGTTAAATAGAAAAATTGTTTAAATAAATTTCTTTCTTAATACAGCAAAGACGATGTATCTTACCTGGGAATGTTTTAGTAGGACATGTACCAGATTTGCACTCGTGGGGTATTTTGTAATCCAATGTATATGGCCATACTGGTACAGGAAGTGCAGGTACTCCTATAGAACTGTCGTAAATGTATCCAAATTCTTCTAAAACCTAAAAAAATTACAATTACAGTACTATTCATTTAAATTTTTTAAGACCTATTTAAAATCAAATAAAATATACGAAATATTTGTATCTGGCATTATTTAAAGAGCAAGTCCAAAAAAAAATCGACGTGACTGTATCAACGGTAAAAAGATCATAATATATCAACAACTCAGGAAAACTGGATTAATGAGAGATCTTAATGCACTGACAGTCCTTCATCATTATCATCATATTGGTGCTACAGCCCTTAGAGGCCATTGACTTTCTCAAGCTTTCTACGCCATTCTGTTGTGTCCCTTGCTTGCATTTTCCAGTTGCCGACTCCGATCTTCTCCGCATCTTGTGTTACCCCATCCATCCACCTCAGCTTTGGTCTACCCCGTCTTCCCATTCCCACGGGTTGCGCTGTTAGAATCTTTTTTATCATGTTCGATTCAGGGGCCCGGGCTACATGTCCTGCCCACTGCAGGCGGTTTCGCTTAATTATAGTGGTAATATCTTTAGCTTTACCAAACGTATGCTGTAAACTGACAGTCCTTCAACATTTTGTTTCACACCAAATCGTTTGAGTGAGTGTTGCTGAAAATTCAGGAACCTTAATATCACATGGTTGTCAAGGACTGACCATTTCCAATAGTTTTTCTAAATGACATTATTTTTTAACATTTTGCAGAGATGAAAACACTTGTAACATTTTTTTTATAATTAGATTAATAACTAATTATTATATATTATTTTAAGATTAATTTTAAAAACCCTTTGTCGTCGTCGTTTTTTTTGAAACAAAGATCATTTAGGCACCTTTATTATAGCGCTAGAAAAATAATAATAAAATTTGTTAAACTTCTTACAAATAGCTTTACTTTAAAGAGAATCTTTTCCTCAATAGGGTACAGTTATTTGCCTTTTTGCTTCCCTTTATAAAAAATAATTGAAACAAGGAGATGCCTTATCAACAACGCTATTTAATCTAGCATTAGAATATGTACTGCGAAATATAAATAAAGGAAAGCTCAGAACAAGAGGTGGTCAAATAATTGCATATGCAGATGATATTGCTATTATTGCAAAGAACAGAAAAATAATGAAAGAAATGCTTGAAGAAATAAGAGAGAAAGGGGAGGTAATGGGGCTAAGATTAAATCAAGAAAAGACAAAAATATTAAGATTAGGGAAAAAACCAATAAAGGAAAAGATCAAAATAGGAAGTTCCGAGTTTGAAGAAGTAGAATACTTCAAATACCTAGGAGTTACAATAAGTAAATCCAGAGAAAGGAAATCCGAAATAAAAGAAAAAATATTAGCAGCGAATAAAGCTTATTTTGCAAACAAAAGATTACTTAAAAGCAAAACACTGACTAAAAAAAGGAAGATGAGCATTTATAACACCACAATTAGACCAATATTATTATATGCAGGGGAAACAATGACGATGGTTAAAAAAGATGAAGAAGACTTAAGAATTGCAGAGAGAAAGATTATGAGAACCATACTAGGACCAATCAGAACAGAGCAAAATGAATATAGAAGCAGAACAAATGCAGAAATTAAGGAAGAACATAAGGAAGACATCGTAACTAAAATAAAGCAATGCAGAGTTAGATGGTTAGGTCACATTTGGCGAGCAGGCGATGAGGCAGTGACATACGCAATGATAGAATGGAATCCAGGAGGAAGAAAGAGAAGGGGAAGACCGAGATCAAAGTGGCTGCAAGAAGTTGAAGAAGACCTCCAAAGGGCAGGAGTCAGTGAATGGAGAGGAAAAACTAGAGACAGGAAAAAATGGAGAGACATTGTCAAGAAGATAAGATAAACAAAAAAAAAGACTGATCCACTTAAGAAATAGGATCTAGAAAGCATTTGCGGTTTAACCCCACGCTGGGGTGTATAGCCATTATATATATATATTATAAAAAATACCGTATGTATGTTTCCGTAGAAAATGAAAATAAGTAGGTTCTTGTTAAGATGTAGTTCTTCAAGTGGAGATGATCCTGTTCTAGGAGATAGTTTATCCAATTTGAGAAAAAGAGGATCACTTTTCGTTGGGTAGTCTAGGAGATTAGACTGACTTTTGGTTGCGTCGTCTAAAAGTTTGGATGGGAATTTATCTATAAGTGTATATATATATATATATATATATATATATATATATATATATATATATATATATGAGTGTATATATATATATATATATATATATATATATATATATATATATAAGTGTATATATATACTTCTATTGTATCTTAAGTAGCTTCATGTACCACCCGAGTAGATCAAATATACATTATAAACTAACTTCAGTGTTTGATACTAAACTTGAGTACAGTTTAAATTCAGTGAGATTTAGGAGACAACATCATCTAGAGTTACTGTAAGTAGTCTTACTATTAATATTAGCTCCAATTATCTTCAAAGTAGTGTGATCGGGCTATTTTAGACAACATTTTCCTGATCGGTGGTTAAAGCTAACTACCAATCCAATCAATTTCTCTAAGGAAAAACGATTTCATCAATTGCACTTTTCAGAACTTTGATTAACTTCCATATCCTGTTATTCTTATGGTGCCCTATCCAATTAGTGGATGTTGGCGACAATTCTGGCATACTCCTCTCGATCTTGTGTGGCTCTAAAAAGTGCATGGGCATCGAGGTTTGTCCAATCCCTTATGTTTTTAAGCCATGAGTATTTCTTTCTTCTGCCATGAGTTCTTAAGCTTTAAGAACTGATACTTGGAATTTCGAAATATATGACCCAGATAAGCAGTTTTTCTTCTTTTTATTATTGGCAGCAATTCTCGTTCTCTGCCCATTCGATTTAATACTTCGACATTTGTTGTGTGATCTATCCAGGGAATTTTAAGTAGTCTTCTAAATACCAACATTTCAAAGGCCTCTAATCGGTTCATCACATTGGCCTTTATAGTCCAGGTTTCTACACCATAAAGCAGTATGGAGTAAATGTAACATTTTACAAAGCGATATCGAAGCGGTAAGTTAGGACTTCTGTTGCTTAGCAAGGTTCTCATAATAGTAAATGCTGCTCTGGCTTGCTCAATCCTGCTACGTATCTCTATATCTGGATCTATATCTTCAGTTATCCAACTACCGAGATATCTGAACTTGGGACCTTTTGGATGTTATTGTTGTTTACTCTTATATTTAATTGCAATTTATTAACAAATATTAATTACAAAAATTCATTATTTAAATAAAAGCTGTGCGAGTAACTTTTTGTGAACCAAGTGTGGGTAGGTCCTTATTTTAATTTTTGGTAAAACCGAATTTTATAATCTTGTCTCTGTACTTCTGCAACTTTATTGTAAATTAATTTAGTATCATTTTGTACTTGCTATAAATTATTACTTTTAAAGCCAATTATCTTGAGATAAACCTAAAACATTAAGGAGAGATATTTATATGATCTACCCTTTTGGATATTTTTTTAAAACCTCAAGATAAGATTTTGCATTTTTTACATGTTATGGTAGATTTATTTGTATTCTTTGTTTTTGGAATTTAGCCGTCTGGTGATTTAGTTGTTGAATATATTTTGGTTTGTTTACCTATTGATTTTATTTATCTACTCCTAATAAGTTTCCTAAAAATAGAGTATCTCTGAATATTTGCTAATAACAATATTTATCTATCACGATATGTTCGATCAGGAGAAAGATCAGGCTGTATATGTTTGTAGGTAAGTAGGTGGACGAATTCCACCGAACATATTTATTATTTGTTTATGTAGTGTGTTGACCACCTTTATTTAATAATTAACTGTTAATATCTTTTCTTGTATTTGGTCCCAGAACCCAATTAACTCTCGTTATCTCTTTTCGTTTCTAAGGTTTCTTAATTTTCCCCTCGTAACCCCAAAAAGTTAAGTGGCACCCTTTTTCTTATAATCTCTTATCTTTAGTAATTTTACCTATCTTTCTTGTTGTCTATTTCTCTGTCTTTTCTAATGTATTTATCTTGTCTTATCTTTATTTTTTCTTCTGTTGGATCCATTTCCGGTTACAAAAGCTAGTTTCGAACCCCTACCCTCCACCCCCGCTCTCCACCAACCATCTAGCAGACTCCATTGGTGACCTTTCTAGCACCATCCAAAAAAGGTTTCCGAGGTTACAAAATTAATAGTAAAACACAATGGAACAGAGATAGAAGTACAGATCTACGTCGTAGATGCAAGGTAGAGAACATTCATAGTAAAAAATGAAAGAGTAAAATGGAACGATCATAAAAGCCGAATGACAACAAATAGAGTAGTAAAGACGGCAAGAGACGGTTCCCCGATATGAAGACGATCAGTAGGAAGAACACGTATACGATGGAACAACTTACTGGAGAAACATTAAAAAACAGACAGTCATATCAACATAAAAAGAAGAAGAAGAAGAAGAAGAGAAGAATATTTAATATATTTAAGTAGACCAGGCCTGTATTTTTACATTGAAACAGTCAATGTCCAAAAACAATTGCATGTACAAGAGATCTGTAAGGCAGATGTAGAGTAGGGGACATTCCTGTACTAGACTAAAAATAATGCTGATCATGCATAAAATTGACACACAGACTGGCCGAAAAGTCTGGAAAACGGCCAATTTTCTCGTAAATTGCTAGTCATATTGTACAAAATTTGAGGTACACCTATTTTGGGATACGAAGATTCCATATTTAATATTTTGCAATGTTGCCAGATTTGCCGTTTCTCTTATATTATTAGTAACTTTGGTTTTTCAAATTCATCACCCTGATATATTCAGTCATTATTGGAATCTCCTATTCAATACTAGTCTAAATATATATATATAGTATATATATATAATATATATATATATATATATATATATATATATATATATATATAAACACATATGATATTATGTAGTCTGGAAGGTCTTAAATATATAAAACCTAAAGTCTGGCAACGCCTAATTATCTCAATAAATTTTTTAGTACTATCTATTTTTAACTACATTAAAACATAATAATTGATAGATTACAACATTTTTTACCATAATGGTTACTTTATCAAGTAATCTAAATGTTCTCCATTTGTTAGTTGACAGTACCCTAATCGATGGTAGAATGCGTCTACCATTTTTTTCATGATTGTCTAGAAATTATTCGAGATTCATCGATATTTCGTTGCCTATTGTCTGCAAGACTTGCTGGTTTAGTTTTATATACTAAATTTTTTAAGTATCCCCAATAAAAATAATCTTTAGGATTAAAATCAGGTGAACGTGAAGGCCATTCAATTCTACCTCGTCTACCAATCCATCGTCCGGGAAATACCTCTTCTAAATAACGCCGAACATTTACACCAAATTTTCTAAAATTATGACAAGCAATTTACAATTTGTACGAATTTACTAGATAGATACCGATCAGGTAGACCGAAAAGAGTTATGAATGACAACCAAATTTTAGATATTATAATGCAAAGTTTTGTTGAAGATCCACATACATCCTCACTCAGGGTTGCACAGGTACATGATGTAGGTCGTTTTTCAGTGTTACGTGTATTACGTAAGAATAAATTTAAACCATACAAAATTAACTTTGTTACCTAATTTAATTAAGTGAAGATGACTTCGATCCTAGATTAGAGTTTACTGAAGTAATGATGGATAAAATTGAAAAATGATGAAAATTTCGTTAACAGAATATGTTTTTCCGATGAAACAACCTTGAATTATGTAAATCGATACAATTTAAGGTACTGGAGTCACGTAAATCCACCACTGAATGCATGAAATCTATACTCAAAGACCACAAAAATTAAATGTATTGTCAGGTATAGTAGGTACTCAGTTAATTCGGCTATTTTTTATCGAAGGAAATTTAACGTCAGATAGTTACGAAATGTTACTTAGAAATTAAATTGCACCTACATTGATACACTTGTTTGGGGCCAATTTTAAGCTGATATGGTTTCAGCAAGATGGATCTCTAGCTCATTTTGGTGTAAATGCTCGGGGTTATTTAGAAGAGATATTTCTCGGACGATGGATCGGTAGACGAGGTGGAATTGAATGGTCTCCACGTTCACCTGATTCAATCCTAAAGATTATTTCTTATTGGGGATACTTGAAAAATTCAGTTTACAAAACTAAACCAACAAGTCTTGCAGAGCTAAGGCAACGAAATATCGATCTCAAACCAGATATCACATATGGTAGACGCATTCTACCATCGATTAGAGTCAACACACAAATGGAGCACATTTTGAACACTTGATGATAAAGTAACCATTGTGTTAAAAAATGTTGTAATCTATCAATTGTTACGTTTTAATGTAGTTAAAAATAGTTAGTATTAAAAATTTACTGAGACATTTAGGCGTTGCCAGACTTCTGTTTTATGTATTTAAGACCTTCCAGACTACATAAAATTATAAGTATTACATATGGTTAAACTCGTATTGAAAAGGAGATTTAGGTGTAACAAACATACAAAAACACAAAAACAAAACAAAAATAGGTGTACCTCAATTTTGTATAGTTATGTCTAGCAATTTATGAGATAATTGGCCGTTTCCAGACTTTTGATCAACTCTGTATATCGATTTTAAAATGTTCTAAAGCTGGATGCCGACATCCAACCTACACTGTCCTCTTCCCAGTTTCCATACGTCAGAATAGATTCCTTTAAGTGTTTCATGGTTGATTCTTTTTGCTATGTATATTCCCTAAGTTTCCAGATTTTTTATAGTATGGTATAGATGCTCATCTGTCGAAGGGCAACCGCATCTAAGGTCAGAATAGCCATGATGATTGCCAACCTCCGCCGCGGACATGGCACGTAAAGAAGATATTACATCTCTTGGGTACTTTATATGTTGCTAATGATTTTTTTTAGGAGGATATGATCAAATTATATTGATATATTTTTAAAAATGATGATATTACCTTTTAAATTCTTGTTTATTAATACTTTTATTACTCACTTTGTATTGTGTGTTTCTTCCTGGTTTTAAGAAAGGTGCTCTCATTCCCACAACTTCACTTTTTGAAATGTTTGCAAGATGTTTGAGTATATCTCTCATGCCCACCATTTCACCTACCCATTCCTCGAATCCTTTGTTTTCCAATCCACTCTGAAGCCTAAAATGTAAAAATGTATGTTTATTACACTTTAGTTATCTCAGTAACATGAAGAATTTCTTACAAAGTAAAACGTATCAATAAACAGTAAATACTGAGTAAATAATGGAAATAAAAATAAAAAACTTACGATATTGTCTCCGTGGCTACCTCATGTCCTTCACTGGCTAATTCTTGTATCATGTGGTAGTTACTGTATTCGTGAGATATAAAGAAAGTACCTCTTATCTCACAACCATTTGGATTTTGTCGTTTATGATTAAGAACTTTTCTATAATGATCATAGTTGTTTAGGTTAACTGCTCCATCAAATGTCAAGAGGATCATCTGTGGCGTCTAAAAATGTAATTCTATTATTAATTCTAATTGGTATTACTGTTTTTTTTTATTCATAAAGTTATCGTAAAAATGTCTAGCTTTATTCAGCCTTATTTTCGATCTTTTACCCAAGAATGTAACCTGTACGTACTTATGGAGTGGAAATATTACCGCTCACAAAAAAAAAGATAGTGAATACGATTTGCGTGATTCAGAGGGCTATGGAGTGCCAGATGGGTGTATCTCTGACAGACCGAATCTCAAACGAAGAAATACGTCGTAGAACAAAGACAACCGACGCCATCGTAAATATACTGTCGCTAAAAATGGAATTGGGTAGGACACGTCACCAGATTATCAGACAATTAATGGACAAAACGTACTGTTGAGTGAAGCCAAGAAAAGAAGCACTACGGAGCAGGAGACGCCCACCAACCACATGGACTGACGACCTGAAGCGTGTTTAACAGTAACTGGATACAAGTCGCACAAGACAGAGACAGATGGAAAGAGCTGGGGAAGACTTATGTCCAGCAGTGGACGTATACAGCTTCATAATGATGCAAGAACGAGAACGCATTTTCTTGTATAATACTGAAATATCTTTTACTTCTTCTTCTTCTTTGCGTGCCATATTTATCCGAAGTTGGCGATCACCATTACGAAGGCTTCTCGATCTTCTGCAATATGGAATAATTGTCCTGCATTTGATATCTGAGTCCATTCACGAATGTTTTTTAACCAAGAAACTAGTTTTCTTCCTACACCAATACAGCACTCTATTATGCCTTTAAGGATCAGTTGTAATATTTTATATCGACTTCCCCTTACTATATGTCCGAGATTAGATATTTTTCGATGTTTAAGAGTCTTTAGCAGTTCTCTATCATTGTTGCGCTCCTTAGTACTTATTCATTAGTTTTCCTTGCTGTCCATGGTATCTTCAGCATTCGTCTATGAACCCACATTTCCAATGCTTCAATTTTGTTTATGATCGATACTTGTAGCATCCACACTTCTGCACTATACAAAAGTCGGACCAAACATAGTACTGAACCATTCTTTGTCTTAGTTCTAAACTGAGATGAATATTGCAAAGAAGTGACTTCATTGTTATAAAAGTAGTTTTAGTCATTGCTGTTCTACGTTTTATTTCTGACTGGATCTAGTTTGTCCGTTATCACAGTTCCCAAATATGTCATTTTGTGAACTTTCTCAACTTGGACTCCGTTTAATTGAAGCCTTGCATCGGGATGTGGGTCACGACTAAACAATAAAAATTTGGTTTTGTTTGAGTTTGTTTTAATGCCCATTTCCTCTCCTACCTCGTGAATACGATCAAGTAGAATTGAAGACAAATATTATCTGATATAATTATTGTTTCGTCTGCATATCTAATCACATTAACTAGTTCCCCGTTGATTTAGATTCCATATAGTTGTCTGTCAAGTGCCTTTTTAAATAACTGGTCTGAGTAGACATTGAATAATGTTGGCGACAAAATGCCTTGTCTGACTACTCGTTGTATAGAGATTTTATCGGTTTAGTTATCTTCAATTTTTACGATAGCAGTTTGATTTCAGTACAAATTTTTTAATGACACGAATATCCTTGTCATCTATTTCGATATTTTTCAGTATTTGCATTTTACATGCTGTACTTTATCGAATGCCTTTTCGAACTCCACGAAACATGCAAATATATCTTTTCTTTGATCACGGCATTTTTGTAATAGTATGTTAAGGGCTAGGGGTAAACCTAGGTGGTGTTAAGATATCTAACTTGCGTTTCGCAGACGACACTACACTTCTAGCCTCTACTCCAGAAGAAATTATTAAATTATTAAAAAAACTCGAGGTAGAAAGTGCTAAATTTGGACTCATGGTTAACTACAACAAAACCAAAATCATGGTTATTGATCGCCAACAACAGTTTCCTGAAACCCAAACTATTGCGGGATGCGAGGTAGTCTCATCTATGATATATCTTGGAGCTCTAGTTAACAACACAGGCAGTTGTGAATCCGAAATTAGAAGACGCATTCAACTAGCAATAGCAGCAATGAGTGAACTAAACGGGGTCTGGCGTGATCGTCACATTACTATGACAAACAAAAAGAGACTCGTTTCAACTCTGGTCTTTTCCATATTTTACTATGCATGCGAGACATGGACAGTCAAAGAATCAGATCGACGACGTATAGACGCCTTTGAAATGTGGACATGGAGACGTCTGCTTCGAATTCCATGGACGGCTCGCCGTACAAATATCTCGGTTCTGGATGAAATTAAACCGGATCAGCGTCTCTCCAGTACCGTTTACTCTAGAATTTTAAAGTTCTTTGGCCATATCCATCGAAGTGATCACAAAATGGAGCGATTGGTGGTCCAAGGAAGGCCTCAGACTCAACGCCAACGCGGAAGATCTCCACAGCGATGGGCGGACATTACTAAAAAGCTTCTCAATAAACAGTATACTGAGGCAATACATATAACTGATGACCGCGACCAGTGGAGAAATATTATCAATCAAACTGTCCGAGCTGCTGAAGCCCAATTATGAACCACAACACATCTACTAAGATGTTAATGACTGTGATGATGATGTTAAGGGCAAAAAGTGCCTCCCTGGTTCCCATAGCATTTCTAAAACCAAATTGGGTATCTTCAAGATCTTCTTCGCATTTGCGTCTAATTCTGTTGTGAAGTATCCTTAGGAAAATTTTAAGAGCGTGGCTCATTAAGTCAATTAATCGATATTCTGAGCATTTTCTCGCATTGTGTTTTTTAGGTCTATTGTGTTTAGCTCTATTGCGACAAAGATGGATTTGAGCCAATCTGTTTAAATAACTCCGGTGTTATATATTGAAATAAAAAGTCTTACTACTATTTTTATGTTATCATTCTCTATTAGTTTCAGCAACTCAGTTGGTGTATCATCTGGACCACAGGCTTTTCTAATTTTAGCATTATTTATAGCGTGTTCTACTCTACCTCGCATTTCATAATTTCTGGGCCGTCAGTACAGTTTTGGTAGAATTCGGCAATATGATTCCTGTCATCTTCAAACAACTCTGATATATACAGCTGTCATTCTTTTCTTATTTCATGCTCATTTACAATAATTTTGTTATTATTGTCAACGAGTACAGAGGGAACTCGTTTTTTAAATATGTTACTCATTTCTTTTAGTTTTTTGTGCACATTAAATAAGTCGTGTTTAGATATTACCTCCTCCATTTCACCGCACCTTTCTCTCATCCATTTTTCTTTGGCTAATTTGATCTCTTTTTTATTCTTTTCTGCAGGTGTCTATATTCTGTTTCATTAGATTTTATTAGTCGACGGTGTTCCATTAATTTCAAGATGTCATCTGTCATCCATTTATTTTTCTTGATTAAGTTTTTTCTATAATCATTGTTTGTGGAATGCGTTAACTTGGTTTTTAAATTCACTTCATAGTTCTTCTGGATCTTCTAGTTGTTCTCCGATGTTTTTAAATTCTATTGTTAAATTTTTTTTTAATGTTATGTTTTATGTTTATATCGTCAAAGTTAAGTACTTTGGTTTTTGGTTTTTGTCGCTGAATTCGTTTTAACCTTAGTTTAATAATTGCTACAAGTGGTTGATGATCAGATCCAATATTTGCCCCAGGAAATGTAGTGACTTTTTTGACGGAATTTCGGAAATGCTCATTTACAAGTATATAGTCTACTTGATTTCTTGAAGACTCAGGGTTATTGCCATTATCAAATGGGGCTTTCCAAGTGTATAGTCGTCGCTTGGATAGTTTATACCAGGTGTTTGCAATGATCATATCGTTTTCTTTACAAAATTCATACAATCTCTGTCCTCGATCGTTAGGTTGTCCTTAACCATAAGGACATATAGTCTGACCTCGTCGACCTTGCCGAATTTTTGTACTGAAGTCGCCTATAATATATAAAATTTCGTGTTTATTAAGTTTCTGTAAGTGTTCTGTAAGATGATCTTTTACTTATAACTACAAAATTAATAATGGGTAAAATGCTGGGAATAGATCAAAAGAACTGACTTCTAAATCAAGTGATTAGTAATAAAATCGGGATGCAAGACTATTTTGCATCTAAAATTAAATGAAGCCGGACATGTTGGTACAATGACAATATACAGAGAACTGAAGACTAGATAAAAAGAAATATGATACAAAACACACTTAAAACAATAGAAATCAACAAGGTAGTATAAGGGTACTCAGAAAACAATTATCACATCTAAAGCAGAAAATATAGGAAGTGCAAGCTGCACAACTGAAATAAGAAAAATCTACAAATTATACAAATGAGTCGTTCCCAGTCGGAACGCCGACATCTAGATTTATATATAATGGTTTTTACTTACATCTTCTGGATCTAAACCACCCGGAATCAATGTTCCATCCTTAGAACAGAAGCAATATGGTAAAACGCACTTTTCTGGATCACATTTTGTTGCTAAATCTGTAGGTTCTTCTGTAACTGGTGCAGGTGCTAGAATTAAACATGATATTAAAAACAAAACTAATAATAAAAATGCTATATATATATATATATAATATATATATATATATATATATATATATATATATATATATACCTTCTATATCCTTATATATATATATATATATATATATATATATATATAAGGATCACTAATTTAACACGTTTGTCTTTAATAAATAATTCTAATACTTTAACTTACTATAATTAATACTTGATAAAATATATTATTACATTAATGCTAATTAACTTAGACTTACTTATGCAATTCACATTGCATACTTGGTCGTTTTTTCATATATTGATTAATTTGACCTTCTGGTTTTTTACTTTAATACAAATAAATACAATTCAATCTTTGAATACTTTTTAAATTAAAGTTCCAAGCGTGGGACCTTGGACTTTTTGGAAATTAGGTGCTTATCGTCATTCACCTGTAGCTGTATATCCAACTACACTGTTGACGTTTATCACTCTTTTATATATGGAGTTGAATGAATTTTGCCTACTTGTTTGTTCTAGACTAGTTGATGCGGGGGATTAGCGTTATCGCTAATTTCTTTCATTGTTTGGTCTCTTACGGGAGGGTTATCATTCAAACTCATGTTAACTTTTTCAAATTTACCCCCCGTAAATTAGTGGGTTGGTACTATTAACCTTGCTGTTCTGTCGAATAATTTTCGACCTCAAGGCTGGCTGTCTGTTTCATGTCATTGACTCGGTACCTTTTAATTAACGCCATTTCAACTGCAACAGGTGCCAAGCATACAGTGGTAACTTCACTTTATATCTTTTTTTATATATATTTTTTATATCTTAATGTAGATAACTTAAATAATGCTACCAAAAGTTAAGATGAAGTCATAAAATAAAAGTTTTTGCATAGTTGGAAGTGAATCAATGATTTTCTTAGTTCTTTTTTCACTAGTTAATATTATATTAAATATTATATGCTTATTAGACCACGTGTTCTGTTGCTTTGCTAATTTTTACTAAGTCTCTAAATGTTGTTAGTTATTTAATTGTTTATACAATATCACCATATGATGTCCATTTATTTGAGTTTTTGTACTACCTTTTTAATACCATTGACAACTACATATCTTTTTTAAGGTAACTATTCAACATCTTCTTCATGAATGTGTGGTACTCTAATGTAAAAATTTTTAGATGAACTGATGATGCTATCAGAATTCGATAGCGAAACGTCTTCAAAATAGATGAAGTAGTATCAACTTTGTCTTTTATTTCTCCACCTAGTTGACCGATAATTGAACCCACCACTCGTCTGAGTGATCCTTATTTATATATATATATATATATATATATATATATATATATAATAATGCTATAGTATAAAATTAGTACCGATATACGAGCTTGTTTTTATAAACACTCAAAATACAAAAAAACCATAAACGGAGAAAAGCTTAGGTATCTAGGGTTTGCAAATTATATTGTGCTAATTGCTGATATAATAGATGAGGCCAAAGAACTAACCAAAGGATTAACAATAAATATATCTAAAATCCAGTTGATCATAAATCTTGTGGTCAGCGAAGATATATGCGTAGATACAAGATCCATATCTCTTCTTCTTTTAGTTCCGACTCCAATAATGAAGTTTGGCTGTAATAATTGCAAATTCGTCTTATATCTTCTACTTTTCATAAAAGCGTCTAGATTCGCGAATGTTTTTCAGACAGGATATTTGTTGTCTGCCAGGACCCATTTTTCCTTTGATTTCACCATTTATAATTAGCTGCAACAACGTGTACTTCTTATTTCTAAGTATGTACCCAAATATGCTGTCTTTCTCTTTTTGATGGCGGTCAAAAGTTCTCTGTCTTCTCATCCAATATACTTAGTCCATACTTATTTTATTTTAATTGGGTTATTATTAGGTTATTGTTTTTGTCAATTAATCGGTTAGGTGTTTTTTCCTCGTGATTTTCTAGATAATTCTCTGACTTTTGTATGTAAATTATAATGATCAAGTTGTTTCTGCAATTCCTCTATTTCAATGAATGTTTCGATTATTTTTCGAATTTTCCTTTTTTATTTTATTCCTAATTAATTTATGTTTTTCTCTGTAGTTATCTGGGTTTTTAGTCCATATGTTCTTTTTTGTTTCATGATTTCCAGTGCTTCTTGAGTCATCCAAGGCTTTCGGCTTTCTTATTTCGTTTGTAGAGTTTTGTTCTGTGTCTTAATAACAGAATCTATGACTTTGCTTCACATAATGTTCACATTATCAGTATTTTTTATTTCTTATGTTAATCTTTTCATTTTTAAATTTATACAAGTTGAAGGCGTTAGTACGTATTTTATCTCGAGCAACTGAATATTGACTTTGAAACTTTTGGATTATGTTATCTTTTTTACCCTTAGTTTAATTTTTGAGACAAGGATGTTATGGTTTGATAGGCCATTCGCCCCAGGCTGTCTTAACGCTTATAAAAGAATTTCTAAGTCTTAGATTGGTTAGTATAGATAAGATCCATAGACCAGGTAATGGCCTAGGTCACGAGATTCGCATTGGAAAAGATAACCGAACCATTGAGCTTTTTCTACATATAAGACTGACTTAAGCAATCTTCAGTAAGTTCAACCACATTTTTAAAATGTTCGACCTACCAATATGTTTTAAAAGAAAAGCGTTTTTCTAGACCGCCAGTTACGACGAACAGAACTGGGCAGGTCACGTGGTCCTAATGACAGATAATAGATGAACAACGTGGATACGTAATAGAGACTAAGAGATGGTGCCTGCCAAAGCAGAGGTTGTTGCCATAGGAATTGGATGCAAGAGGCGGAAGATCAAATCAGATGAACAATTATGAGAAAGATCTTTGTCTTGCAGTGGACAAGTGAAGTTAAAGCCTTTGCGGCTTCAACTTTACGCTGGAAAGTTATCCTAAAATATGTGTCACTGAAATTGAAACCTGAAAGCAAGAGATGGTCTTCAAGACTAGATACGGTCGAAGCTGTGAATAACATTATGGTAAAATTGTGCAGTCTCTAGAGGATCTTAAAACTATGAGTGAAAAACGAAACTTTTTCGAAATTACTGGGAAACTTGAATTCATCGTTTTGGTGTATTTTGGCACGCTTTTTGAAAAAGATCAGTCACGCCAATGAATTCATGCAAAGGAACCATCTGACAGTAAATTTGGCTACCCGGAACCTTCAAGATCTCAACCAGTCTTGAAGTCTTGCAGAGAGTTTGCTCTATCTGATGCCATTACTGAGGGTACATTTTTAGCTAGCATGAATGATCTACTATCTGGGTTCTCAGAAAATATAATGAAAAAAAATGCATGATGAGCTATATAGTGATGAAGCTCTGACCAGTGCTGAGAGTGTGTATAAGTAGCCATGTTGGAGGTTATTGACGGGATGATTACGGAAGTTTAAGATGTGAAAGGTTTAAGGCTTTAGACAACACAAACATCAAGTTTGAATTTTTGAATGAAGTTCGAATTGAATAAATGCAAAAAAATATAGAGTTAATTTATACACACAGAAAAACAAAAATAATAAAATGGGTAAAAAATATATCGTAAAACTACAGATTATGCCATTTCCTACAAGATGTGATAATGACAATTAAATCACTCATATTTATTTTAAATACTGCACTTGATAAAACTTAAAATAGAATATCTAGGAGAATCTACTATAGAGCAGCCATTTACACGAAAGTTAATCATAATATGCTAAAACTATTTGTTTTAATTGAGTAAAAATATATAAATATTGTCATAACTTACTTGATGCTAGCGGTCCACACCTTGCTTCATTCTTAAAGGTACAAAATTTAGCAATATCATCAAAATATAGACCTGAAGGACATCTGTTTACATATGGATATCCATCGACGCACTAAAAAAATGAAATTGTTAGATTCAAAATTAAAAATACTGTTACTAAAATGTTGCACAAACATTATAAAATCTTTACCGGTAAACCCCTTTGATACAATATTATGGTGTAACATATTGATACAATTGGTATGTATATATAGTGTACAAATTCCAAAATTTTACCTAGTTGTGTTTTTTTTCTTTGTAGTTTTATTTCAATATTAACTATACAACTGTAAAAAACAGAACTGAAACAGTGTTAATGTTATACATAGAGAGTTCAGTATTTACTATATTGCACAATAAAAATAAAATTCTGTTTGGTTTAAGCAATACACTGTGCAAACTTGTAATATGATCCTCGGGTGGTTTACGTGATCCCACATTATCAAAATATACTTTTTCTTTATATATTACGATTATTGTTCAGAAACAACAGGAAATTCTTCTTTAATCACTTTCTGTCCACTTCCGAATATAGGCCTCTTTCATATTTCTTCATGTTATCCTGTGCTATTTGAAACCACCTAGTTAGTGCATACTTTTTGATATTCTCAAGCCACCCCTTCCGAGGTCTTCCAACATTCCATTTTGTCTGTCTTGGTTGTAAATGTGCTAGTTTAGTAATCCATCTATTTTGATCTTGCCGGGTTAAATGTCGTGCCCACTGCCATTTCAGTTCTGCAATACGTTATAATACATCTGCTACTTTGGTTCTTTGATGGATTTCTTCATTTGTTTTTCTACATTTTAAGACTATAACAAGCAAACAAGCATTGTGGGTTCATTGTAGTTGGGCATTTGCCAATGCCCAACTCTTAATTGGTTTACAAATTTTTTTGTTAGTCATCATTGCTACTGGCGATATACAGGCATCGTAAACTTTTTTTTTAAATTCATGTAGATATTATTATTGAAGTGATGGATTCGATCGTTACTTGATTAAAATTTATTGTATCTAACAATAAAATACTGAAAACTTTTGTTTTCAACACTTTCACAAAATTTATTTTAAATTAAAGCCTAAGAATTGGATAAAAAAAATAGGCTAAACCTTTAAAAAATTACCACCTTATTAAGATTAAGCTTTACCTCCTTATTAGTTACCAGAAGAAAGGAAGATTATAGGAGGACAATAAACAAATAATGGCTACAAATTAGCAAATTTTTATTACTCAAAAGTTCAGCCAGATAAACGTTTTATGGAAGATTAACAAATTAGTCATTTTTGTTAATCTGATTAGCTTTGCCGGTATATCTTGATTTTTGTTAAATAATTTAATCTGTTCCAATACAGTCACAGGCTTGTCGGAAGTGTACGAAGAGGGTGTACATGATGTGTTCGTGGAATTTATTGATTGTTTGTGTAATTATGTGGATCACCTATGTAGTGGATCTGCGTTCCCTGAATCCTTGCTGGATTCCCCATTTTTTTTTCTCTGTGAATTTAGTGAGTTTTTGTCTGGTGAGGGTTGTTAGAATTTTGTATGTTGTACCCAGTAGAGATATTTCAGTATAGTTGTTACAGTCTGTTACTTCTCCTTTCCTAAATATTGGTATAATTCTGCCTTATAATAGTTATATTGCAAGTAAAACTACGACAGTTACGACAGAATCTTATTAAATTGAATTTTTACTGTAACGTCACCAAAAGTTAAAGAACATTTGAAAACTGTGAAAATGGACAACTACCATGCTTCAGCGCAATGTTGAAAGCCTAAAGATAGCTTGCAGGATCCAGCAGAACCTAATCTGGCATTGTATATAGCACTCACATCCGTAAATTGCAATATTTCTTGCAAGTGAATAAATGCGTGGACGAATGCTGTTGTTGCCGCTCGAGGAGTGTATTGAAATCTGTCTTTCCGGATTTCTTGCAGTCAGCCTGTCCAATCCTTTAAATCATAAGTAAGTTCGTGATGCCTAGTCAATTAGATAAAAAATTATGCAAGTTTTCAGCACTATTGTGAGATTGTTCGTTGATCTGTTGCCTCCACAGAAAGCATTTAAGCAGGTGCCCTACGATTTCTTTGTCCATCACTACAATGGGACTTCAAGGATAGAATACGTGCAACCAGTAGGATCTATTTTACATACCTTAATACTGTATTTCACAATATCTTGCTGCAAAAAGGGAAAATATGCTTCTCTAGATTGTGGGCTACAATAAAACATCGTCTGAGGATGCCAATTGGCTCAACGAAGACCAAGTTGATGCAGGTGATTGAATAATTCCTGAATCCTCTTCCTCTGCTTTCGGAATGCCAGTAATGAACGAATCTGAGTGGCTAATAAACCTATGAGGAGTACTAACTCCAATTGAGTTGTTTTTTAAATGCCTACCTTTTTCTTCCATTCTTATCAACAAAAATTTAGTAATTCCATCACAAAAATTTAGTAATTCCATCACAAAAATTTAGTAATTCCATCAGTAGAGTTACAACATACCCTGGGGCATATATTGAGTCTAATGACCACCCTTTAGTCACCGATTCAAGAGCCACCCTAAACCGAATAGAAAAAAAAAATCAGCAAAAGAATTTTACAATTTTTGATGTCAAAAAAAGTAAAATAGATAATAATGTAACCAATAACATGAAATAAACGAGAACAAGCGAAAATGTTGAGAAAACATAATAGAAAAACATAGTGTGACTAATAGATTCGATATATGATGGAAGAAATACTAGAGCTTTTGGAAGTAAAAAACCAAAAACGAGCGGCTAAAGAAAAGTGGCTTCAGAAATGGAAGAATTACAAAAGAAGCATGGCATGTTCAATTTGCAACACGAAAAAGTTCGTGAAATTTTTAGTCTCTCTCCAGGGCATTCAAGAACTGTTGCATTGTCTAAACATGACAGGAAGTGATATGGATCTAGGAATGAATGTTTCTAGGACAAAATTTATGATTTCAGTCGCCAACCTCATAGCAGTGCTTCCCTACAGATAGAACAACAAATTATTGAGAGAGTTACTAACTTTAAATATTTGAGATGCTACATTGCAGACCAACTAGATCCAAGTAAAGAGATCAAGTGCAGAATTGAAGAAACTTGCACAATGGTTCGAAAAATAAAAGCATTTTGTGTGACACAGCTTAAATCTAAAATTACTTCAACAAATGATCGAATAAATGCTATATTAATCAATGTTATTACATAGCACCGAGACCTGGACTCTGAAAGCTGATACGATTACCTGTATCGAGCGGCAAATGCTGCGCGTATGTCATTAAAAACTATTATACTAAGAAAGATTTCACACCTACGGCATATTCTTCGAGAAGACCGGTATAGATATTTCAGATTATCATGAAAGAAAAATCAGATAGAATATCTATTCTAAAATGAGAAGTGGAGAATGCTATAAAGGGTCTTAAAAATAACAAAAGACCAGGCAACGATAACGTATACGGGGAAGTATTGAAAATGCTGTGCGAAACAAACTGTCAATTTCTAGACTCACTCGTCAGACTCTTTAACAATATTTATAACAGCGGGGAGTTTCCTGAAGACTGGCTAGAGTCAACTTTTGTTGCCATACCGAAAAAACCAAAAGCAAAGTCTTGTGATCAACATCGGATAAGTCTAATTAACCACATTTCGAAGGTATACACCAAGGTTATTTACAACAGAATAAGCAAAAAATGCGAGGATAACATTGGAGATTCGCAGTTTGGGTTTCGGAATTCTCTTGGGACAAGAGAAGCACTTTTTAGTCTACAGGTACTCATCCAGCGCTGCAGAGATATGAACAAAGACGTGTACATATGCTTTATAGACTACGCAAAAGCATTCGATAACGTAAAGCACGAAAAGATAATTGAAGTTCTCCATAAGATCGGAGTCGACCACAGAGACATTCGAACAATAGCGAGTCTCTATTGGGGTCAAACAGCTAAAGTGAAAGTAGGATCTACATTGACCAATAAAATTGAGATCAAGAAAGGGGTACGACAGAGCTGTATCTTGTCTCCTATTCTCTCTAATATATACTCAGAAGAAGTATTTAAGACAGCGCTGGAGGAAAGCACAGAAGGCATAAAGATAAATGGAGAAATAATTAATAACATAAGGTATGCTGATGATACTGTGATTCTAGCAAGTAGCATGGAGGAATTTAGTTGCCCAATAAGTAAGATACAAAAAACAAGTGCACAATACGGACTCAGACTAAATATCACAAAAATCAAATGGATGTTAGTAAGCAAAACCCAACAACCACCACAGCAATGATATTAGACAATGAAAGAATTGAACACGTGGATTCGTACATCTACTTGGGAACAACAGTTAACACAAATTGGGGTCAAGCGAAGGAAATACGTATAAAAGTAGAACAGGCAAGAGCATCGTTTACTAGCATGAAGCAAATTTTCACCTCTAAAAGCCTCACTCTACCTCTCAAAATTCGACTTCTGAAATGTTATGTATTCCCGGTTTTCTTATATGGAATGGAGGCGTGAACAATGACCGCAACATTGATGAAAAAAGTAGAGGCCTTCGAAATGTGGGCTTACCGACGTATATTACGTATATCCTGGACTGAGTACGTGACCAACGAAGAGGTACTACGCCGGATAGGTAAAGAGAGTGAGGTAGGAATAAGTATAAAGAAAAGAAAGTTGGAATACTTGGGTCACGTTATGAGACGTAATAAATATAGAGTACTACAGCTGATCGTTCAAGGGAAAATAGACAGCAGAAGGGGTCCAGGGAGGAGAAGACACTCGTGGCTCCAAAACTTGCGGCAATGGTTCGGATTGTCATCTGCTGAACTATTCAGATCTGCCGTAAACAAAATCAGAATAGCCATGTTGATTGCCAACGTTCGGAACGGACAAGGCACATAAAGAATATGAAAGATAAAAGCAAGGGCCGCAGAGGAATGGGAAATGAGATGTCATGGCTCAAGAACATTTGCGATTGGATAGGAATATACAGTGCTGCACAACTATTTTCATTAAATGAAGACCGTGGAAAATATTACCAACGTTAGGGGGGCCTAATAGGGTACCGGAAAAGATACCTATCTTGTGATTTTCTTTTTAATTTTTGTTAAGAATACAATTTTAATTTGAATAAAATTATTTATTTCAGATATATTTCTCTTTCTGATTGTATTGCTAAATGTAGAAATAAATATATTCGTTTATGAGATTAATATTAAAAAAAGTTAAAATAGAAGTCTGCATTAGAAGAACCATAAGGGATAAAGCCAAAAATCTATGTAAGGATGGAGTAAGGAAACCGTAAAAAATTGTAAGATTAGCAGTAAAAGTTTATTATTGCGAGTTAGAAATACCTTGTTTCATTTATTATTACTGCAAATGCGATTAAAACAATAACAAAGTTATTTTACCGACTTGCTGGTACTTTTCGCAACATAATTGTTACTTTTAGGTAAAAATTGTCACTTAAGTGTTACATAACGTTTAGGTAGGGGAAGGGGGGGGCTTGTAAAACGTTATGACACAGCATAGACACAAATTTGTTCCTTATGCTGTAGTTATGGTGCTTTACATGGAGGAAGAGGAATCAAAAATCTTCCAAACTTGCATTACGTAATACTTGAATGCCCCCGTAGCATATGTATTTTATCAGTTTTCTTTTTTGAAACTCTTGTGTTGTCACTGTTATGGAAAACTTGTAATTAAATCAAGGACGCTTACCGACGACTTTTCCTTTGATAACCATTTTTCATAATCTGTTTTCTCTTGTTACATTTCAGTATCTGTATTATAAAAGTTTTAGCCAAATTATTAAACAATCTAGATCTTAATTTGCCTATTTTAAGTGGATGTTAATTTCATTATAGTCATCCTCCTGTACGAAGAAACGAAAACGTTAATAATTTATTTATTTTGCGTTTTTACTTTAACTGGTTATATGTATAGTAAAATAGGTTTTAAGAATATTTATCTGAAGAATTCTAAGAACTTTTCGAGTAAACAACATCCATTCTAAAAATGACAAAACGTAGGCAACCGGTATGTTAATTAGGACATTTTGCAAATTTCAAAGAACCGCACAACCTGAGCAGCCTACCTTGAAATCATTAAAATCGATAAAAGAAAATACAATAATTAACTGTATAGATAGAGCTAATCGATTTCGTTCCTTTTAACGATCCATTGTTTGGTATTAAGTCCAAGTTTGGAATTATTTTATTTAACCACATTTCTTAAACAAACTAATTATAGCGAGTTTGTCTTTATACCTTAAGCTGGGCTCTGAATATGTTTCTAAATAGTGTGATTTGTTTGTATCATAAACCTTCAATATATTCAAGTATAAAAAATTATATATACCCTCTTCACTGTCGAACTTTTTTAATATTAATATTAAATTATTTAAGTTTGTTAAAATTTCAAAAAGGAGCTATCAGCTATATTTCAAAAGTGGCAACCAAGCAAACTTTTTTTTGATCCTTGTCGATTATCTTCATTCGACGATCTGATAATATACTATATTTTTCGTTTTATCGTCAGGTACGGTGCAGGTCAGGTATCCTCTTTGGAGTATAATGGAAAATATGGGAGTACCTAACCACCTAGTTAACCTAATAAGAAATCTGTATAATAAAAACTCAACCAAAGTTAAAGTACATGGAATAAATTCAAATGCATTCAAAACAGAGAAAGAAACTAGACAAGGTTGCATACTATCACCATTATTGTGCAACATATATTTTGAATATATAATGAGAAAAGTACTAGATGAATGGGATGGAGGAATCACTATAGGAGGCAGAAAAATCAGTAACCTGCGATACGCAGATGACACACTTATACTAGCAGCGAATGAAGTCGAAATGATTACCATCATCGAACGGCTAAGCCGAATAAGTGAAGAATTCGGACTTCAAATCAACACCGGAAAAACAAAAATAATGATTGTAGACAGAGCAAATAATAATCTACCGCATATACGCCAAATAGGGATTTTCGGAGTAGTCGACAGATTTGTATACTTGGGCTCTCTGATAACCAACAATGGTGAAGCACAAGATCGCAGTCAATGGAGACAGCAGACTAACAATATTTACGCCCTGACAAGGGCTAAAGGATTGAGGAGGAGAGGACGAGAATAAACAAAGCAGATGTTTGATTACATGTGAATATACTTCGTATAATTGAACATGGGGGAAACAATTATTTCCTCTATTCTGTTCACAAAAACCTTTTGGATTTAAACCCAAAAGGATTGACCTTTCGATTTTTTTATCATCATCGCGAATGCAAGAAGAATCGATTCATTTAAATTCGAATAGCATATTGGTTGGTATCATCGGATTTCTGGGAATAACATAGTTTTCCTCAAATCATTTTAGTATCGTCGAATGTATTATATTCTATGTATGCGTTTTTACACCACCAAGCACATCCCGTTACATAGTTTTTGTTAGTTTAGATTTATAAGCATGATGACGACCGAACCAACCTTTGGTTGTATTGTGCGGTGGTAAGTCGGGAAATCCAATTTCAGTTTAAAAATTCAGTGGGACACAACTGTAGTTGGAAACAGTGGATGAGAATTGCAAAAGATAGGGAAGCGTGAAAGCAATTGGAGGAGGCCTATGTCCAACAATGGATAAATGAAGGTTGAACAAGAAGAAGATTGTGCAGATCTTTTACAGTTCGATTAAGTTCTTTCAATTCTGCATCATTGTGCATTTATTTCTGGTGATGATTATACTTGCTGCCAAAACTTTGGCCATTACTAATTATTTTGCAATGTTGTATGTCGATTCTTTAGTCGTTTTAACGTTTAACGGCAATTTAAACGCTAAGTAAGTCATTCGGCATCATTCAGTAACACTTTCTGTAGCATTTTCGCATCTGGTACGCACTGTGGCCAAAATCAGTGACATAACGAATGTCTTCCAGTTACACTGGGCGCATCGAAGAAAAATAACTCACCATTTCTATTATCAATTACCTCCAATAACTTATCGTATCTTTGACTTTGAATATTTGAATATTTGAATCCGTATATTTGACTTTTTGTTCTAAAGATGCCTATCTTCTAATTATGTTGGCGACCACAATAACCCATCTTATTCTATTCACAGCAGCACGAAATATATCGGTTGACGTTTGACCAGTCCATTTGACTCAACAAAGTAGATTTAAATGTCAGTTGGTAGTTCCGATTTCTTTCCTATATTTCCTCATTGAGGATAATAAAAATAAACAAAAATAAAACAACACTTTAGGCAAGATTGTAAACTAGTGAAACTTCAAGAGTAAAAACACAGCAGATATAATTTAACGTAAAGTTCCAAAAAAAGCAGCTATAACTCCAAACTGAATGTAAATTTCTGTTTCTGTAGTTTCTTTCTCTTAAACGAATCGTTCAATAAGTATTATACTCGATCCACCTCTATTTACTGTAATAACAATTACTAGATCAGGAAATATGACATGCATATTGCAATGGCAAAAACATAACGATATTTATATATGCGGAAATCTCCCTTTTCTATAGTATTTTAGTTATAGTTGGTTTCTTTGTAAATTTTTTTACTTAAACTTTCTCTGAAACTAATTTATATAAAATATATGACAATGTAATTAAACGGTTATGTTATTTATTATAATTAAAGTAAGAGTAGGAAGACAAAACCTTCAACCATAAAAAGTTTTCAGAGAATATAAATAAGTTAAAGTTGATAAAATCAATCGGATCCAAAGGATAAAAATATACATGATAAATATTGAAGGAAACATAGAACACGTATAGATAATTTTCATTAAAGTGCTTATATAATTTGATCAAAACACATCCAATCGCACATATTTCTGAACATCTACCAAAGAAGACAGGTCTATTGAAGAATTTCGGAGAAAATTCTAACAGCATAATAATAAAAAAAGATCGAAAACTCATTGCACTATTCTAGAAGTAAATTTGGAGTCTTTTATTTGCGATTTAATTTTTTTGTTTTATGATACAATTCTATCTCACAATTTAGTAGGGAAAAAAGGGTACAGTGAGACAGAGAGAACAGTGAGACATTTGCCAATATTTGGTAAATTGAATTTCGACTATGACATTGATCTTTTAGAAGCAGTGACAATTTGAAGCATTTTGTTCTTAGGGGATGTCAAGTATTCAGTCATTGTCAAAGTAATTGTTTTGCTCCCAATATTAAAGTTTGTATGAAAAAAACTATTAACAATAAAATTGTGTTGATAGTAACCGATAGTTACGTATTTAAGGTAGGTAAGTATAAAGCATGTTATTTTTAAGTCGTTTAACTGAAAAAATTGTGATATGGGTACAGTGAGATATTTCATATATGGGTACAGTGGGTAGTGGGACATTTTATAAGTTGTCTCACTATTCTCATATAAAGTTATGTTATTTTCCTTTTGGTAAAAAAATATATTACTACGCAATGCTTTATGGAAGTATTGAGGCATTTTATCAAACACACGTAAGTTTAAAAGAAAACCCTTTGCTCTTAATAATGGACAATCATGAGAGTCACATCCCTCCAATTATGCTTCTGCTCCCCTTACAATGGTTTCCTTCTTAACTCGGAAAATATCGACCGTACAAAAAAATTTGTAAAAAGGAAATTATAAGAAATTGAATTTGCAACAATTTCAAGTCCTACAGTTTTTCTCAAAAAATTAAAAATGGCTGAGATATTGAGCAAAAACAGGTCTTCTTTAAATTAAAGATGGCGGCTATCGCAACGGTGGGATGTAGTCGAGATTTTAAAATTACACTACTATTGAGATCCCTAAAAGTTTAAAATAATTAAAGCTGGGGCAGCTTGCCATGCGAGGTTCGCCTTTTTTCGTCTAACCTGACTAGAGTACATATACAATTACCAGATTTAAGTTTAACTTTTTAAATACATAACAAAAGGCATAAAAACAAAAACTCCTACCTGGTAAAATCTTTTGCACGTAGCTGGATCTGCATAGTTTCCATTTCCTGTACTATGCGGACATTGAAAGGCCTCTTTTTTGTCGTCTGCTCCATCAGCTTTCTTCTGACTTCTAACTGGAAAGAACTATCAATAAATCAATTTAAACTATAAAAATTGCTCAAGTTATTGTTATTAGATAAGATTGTTATAATACAATATGCATTACCAGTACAAAATATTATTTATATCTCGATGAACTTTTTGTAAAATCTGTAAAATGAAGCTTTATTTTTTTTAATATATTACACTTTGCTTTGTATAAAACGTATATTGTTTACTTTGTACATATAACATACTCTTACGTTCTGCTTATTTTTCTTCCTCTTTAGAAGCAATTATAGTTGTTCATTTGCAGATTGATGCATCTATGGATGATTATCATTACATCTTGTCTACAGCGCAATCGACAAAAGACTGTGTTTCTGTTTGGTTATTTGACCCTTGCTATTTGATCAATCTGTTCCCCTTCATTCTACTTACCTGATTATTCCATTCTTATTTTTTTATAGTGTTTATTATATCCATATTTTTTTTATTTATTTATTTGTTAGTGATGTACATAGACAGTGATTATTCTTTTCAATTCGATTCTTAGCATTCTCCTATACTGTGAATCGTCAAACAGGCCATAGAAAATTCAATGGGAAATTCTAAACTGTTGAATTCCTGCTTCCCTAATTATTTTACACCAAAAGTCATGGGAAACTATTTGTAAAGGACTCAAATATGTATCGAAAACAACTGTTAAAATTGTTCTACGACTTAAACGTATTCCAAAATTTTGCTAAAATATAATACATTTTTCAGGCCACCCCTAAAAGTCAGGCCAGACGCCGTGAAAAAATGTGTATTACGTGTTGCGTTTTGTCATATTGATGTTTCTGATATTTGACAATATTTAAATCAACTGTATTATATTTATCTATGATTTAAATAGCCAAAACTATGCCAATGATCATAGTTGTCGAGGCATTAACTCAATAATAAATAAAATAGCCAAAATTTTGTGATTTATTGTTAAAAAAAATTAAGTTAATTAAAAAATGTACTCAGTTGAGGAGAAAAGAGCAATAATAAAAATGTTTTATTCATGTTTTATTATAACATTTGTTATAGTTTTATGTTTAGAAATTATCATACATTATTATTAGGAATAAAGATCACAGTAACAGTACATTGGAATTCATTGAATTGTCGTATAACTTAACATGGAATTAAATTTTAGTACCTATATTAGAATATCTTACGTTAAATAAAGATCCGGTAGTGGCAGGAAAAGGTTCGCGCTATTGCCTGAATACAACATTATGCGATTTTTCGTCAACTGAGTACATTTCATTATATTGATCGATTTGTAAACAATATAATTTATTGTTCACAAAGTAATATTGCTCAGTAGTAGTAGTATTCAGTAAAATTCATTGTTTATAATTTAATGATAAAATAAAAAAATTGATAATTCAAATTGTCAAACATCTGACATCAATATGATAAAACACACACGTCATAATATATATTCTTGCATTACGTGTGGCCTAACTTTTAGGGGTGGCCTGAAAAATGAATTTCCTATGGCCCGTTTAACGATTCACTACACGGTATATTTCATGATTTTACAATCATCAGGAGGACTTTGTGAGACTCGAAGTAAAACAAACGAACCGTGTACCTGGTATTTATTATCAAATATTGTATACGAAGAAACTTTTTTTAAGTATTTTGACTTCATGCTTCTTAGTATAGATGTAGTTACGTACCTCCTCCTCTACCTTTCTCATATAATTCGTTTGACTATTTCTGATCAATTATCTCTCTTCTGTGCGTATTTTTTTTTCTTCGGAGAATGATTAATCAGTCATGTCCTTTATTTGGTCCGACAATCATCATCATTATCATCCAGCCCTTTGCGTCCACTGCTGGACATAGGCCTCGATAATGTTTGTAATTTGTGCTCTATCTTAAGCACTTTTCATCCAATTTCTTGACATTTTCTTGAGATCGTCACTTCAACGAGTAGGGGGTCTTCCTCTACTTCTTTTGTCTAACCTCAGCCTCCACTCAAGCAATCTCTTCGTCCACCTTTCATCACTGACTCGTGCGACGTATCCGGCTTAGTTCCATTTCAGTGTGGCAATTCGGGAAATTACATCTTTGAATTTTCCATAGGCTGTCCATGCTAGGGTTTATTCTTCTTAGTAGTTCGCATGTTTGGTTATCTCTTGTGATCTTTATTGCGTGTCCAAGATATATGTATTTTTCCACTAGCTCTACTTCCTTGTCTCTAATATTAATATTTTCGCTAGGTACTAGGTTTGGTATGAATTTTGTTTTGGAGATGTTTATTTTAAGACCCACACTGGCACACACTAACTGAAGTTCATGTAGCATTGTACATATCTCCTTGAGGTTGTCCGAGAACAAAACTATGTCGCCTGCGAATTTCAAATTTGTTAATCTTCTACCGTCAATGTTCAGGCCTTTCTCTTTGGCTCAATCTCTGCGGATTGGGATATGATCCGTGTTTTCATTTAGTTTCGCCGACATAGTTGCGTTCTTGTATGTATTGTAAATTAACCTTGTATATCGGTAGTCAATACGGCATTCTTGTAGTGCTTCCAGGATTTTATCAAATTCTACCATGTCAAAGACTTTGTGGAAATCTACAAAAGCCAGAACGAGTGGTCGATTGTATTCGATAGTCTTTTCTATTACCGTTTTAATGCTCTGTAGGTGATGATTTGTTCCAAATCCGATATGAAATCCCGCTTGCTCTATTGGCTGATAGAAATCAAGTTTTTTCTCAAGGCGATCTGTTACTATTCTTGTAAGGAGTTTGTATAGGTGACTAAGAAGACTTATAGGTCTGTAGTTTTCTAATTCATGGGGATCTTCTTTTTTATACAATAGAATTACCTCAGCAACGTGCCATTTGTCGAGTATATTACTGTCCAAAAGGCACATGTTAAAAAGGTTTTTTATTTTCTTAAGTATTCAAGTGCCTCCGATTTTGATTTTATCAGTAACTACACAATCTTCGCCTGGGGATTTGTTATTCTTAGCTTTTCTTAGGGCTAGTTTTATTTCGTCCATTGTGATTTCCGATAGTAGGTAGTAGTTCTGATCCTTGGTTGATAATGCCCTTTTTCTTTGTTAATATTTCTGGTATTTGATCTTCTCTCTTATTTGCTTTGCGTTGGCTTGTGTGTAGCAATTTGTAGAAGTCTTCAACTATTTTAAGGGTTTCCTCTCTGTTGGTTGTAAGATGACCATTTCTATCTGTAATCTTTATTATCTGCCTTGTCCCCGTTCTTATTCTTTTTCTCAATACTTTCATACTTCTATTGTTATCAATGGTATATTCGATTTGTTCTTGGTTGTATTTTCGAGTTTCTTGTCTAACAGCTTTGGATGTTTCTTTATTAAATTTTTGTAGTTCGTCGGCTTTGGTTTTCGTCTCTCTTTTTTTTCTTTTTTAGTTGCCTAGTATTTTGGCTAATTTTCTATTCTTTTTGAGTTCTAGGACAGAAATTATTTTGACTTTCCACTAAAGCATTTATCAATTTATTATTTAAGTCGCTTATATTATTTTCTATTTCAGGACTACTAAGTATGTCGGAAAAACATTGCTGAAAACTATATACTTCTGATGGTTTCATTCATGGTTTTGATTTGTTCTTCTTTTTAATCATCTTATACCTCTGCTTCTTTAAGCTTATTTCTATATTACCTCGTACCATTCTATGGACGCTACTGGTAACAAATCTGTTTAGAACCGTGATGTCTTTAACGGTGTGTTTTTTGTCCGTGATAATAAAATCTATTTCGTTTTGAGTTTTTCCATTAGGACTTTGCCATGTCCATCTTCTCTGTGGTTTCTTTTTAAAAAAGCTGTTCATTTGGAATAGTTCATGTTGCAGCATGAACCTTAACAGTATTTTGCCAAGTTCATTTCTACCATGCAAGCCAAAGTTTCCCAATGGTGTTTCTGTATGGTTGGATATCATTCCTGCTTGGGTGTTAAAATCACCACAAATAAAATTAAAATGTCCTTGATAGTCTTTAAGAGCAGCTTCAAAATCGCTATGGTCCGATATCGACATGGATAAGCTTTGGTCCGAATATTGCTCTGAAGATCTTTCTTTGAATCTTTTCTGGCTACGTTAAATTCAACTATAATTTGTTGAATGCCTTTTTTTCTAGATATACGTCAAAAATATTTGGTTGATAGTTGTGGTGAGTCTAGTCTTTATGTTTTTTTGTACAAGTGTACACTGGTATAGTAGTAAATAATATAGTCACCGGAACCACCAGGTAGACGGTTGGATTCTTTTTATTTTGATTCTCACAAAGTCCATTCTGATAATAAGAAAATCATGAAAAACGTTTGGGAAACTGGTAAGACTCGAACTGAAAAGAAATATCATATTATAAACGTCTTTACTTTACGTAAAGAGTGCAAGTGGTGGAAATTTGTATGGATAAACTGTTGCTGTATTGTCGGGATAAAGTTATTCATAACATCGTCTGATCCAAGGATTAATTGTTCAAAAATAATACTTTTCTCTGGTTTACGAAATTACATAATTTGGTTTTGTCTTAAGTCTTAATGTATGCTACTTAATTTTTTTATATAGAGAACATTTGTACATAATGATATCCTAATTTCAAAATTGTTTACTTTGACCTCTTTTAAGGAGTCAAACAAAGAATTGGTGAGTCTTAATTTGATAACAAATTAGTCCCTTTGTTCCCGTCTATCAAAATAAATTAAGATTTTATAGGACAATTAAGTTAGATTTTTACTTGATATAACTGTATAGATAAGTGTGGCAGTTAAAATGTGTAGTATGAAATATTACAAAAGACTCTAATCTAGGGATTCATCAATTCTTTAATGAAAATATGTTTAAATAAACAATTAAAACGTCAAACCCATTATTTTGCTCATCACTTAAAAACTTGTCTATTTAGAGATTTGATGTCAACAGACAACTCTTTTCGAAAAAAAGGTACACATAATGAGGTATGCTAAATTAAAATCGGATAATAAACAAAAAAGTTATTGCAAAATGAA